GGACAAAGATTACCGAACGGAAAGAGATGCGAGAGGTCTCATCGAGATTACGAAATGGCATACGTCATGTCGCGCTAATAGATTAATTGAGATCAAGATTCCTGGAATAATCGCGCCGAACTATCGTCGCACATCGTTAAAGATCGTTATGCATCGCGGATCAATTAAACGACGCGCGCACACTTTCCATAATCAACCGAGATTACTGCTAAATTAGGTAGCGAGCCCGACGACCGATTTATCGGCAATTATTCGATGCACACACACAGATGCGTTTCAATCTCGCGTAATCCGAAATTTACGCGCGGGAGAGAGAGATTTCCCTTCGGTTATGAGATTCTACCTATGTATGTGCGATGGCACGAGAGACGTCGCGCGAAGTGAGTATCGAGTTTAAACCGTAATTTTCGCGTAAGAAGATTATTTTCACCGAGAAGAGAGTTTATTATACGGAATGTTATATCGGGGATATATATATATATATATATATATACAATTTGTGTGCATAAATCCGAGAGTGAAGCGCGAGGCAATCAACGGGGAGAAACGACTTGCGTCTTTACTCGTACCATAGGTATAGTGAGCGAGAGTGATTCGTTGAAAATGTCTGTTCCTATCGCGCGGAAGATCGATAAAGTCGAGCATGTCAAATATTAGTCGCTCAACCTTCGAACGAAGAGCGCAATTTCGCGGCTCGCCGAATCCCGCGGCGGCAGCGGATCCGAAATGCGACGGTAGTAATTTAGAGAAAATTACATATTCGCGACTATCGGGGATCTGCTTCGTCGCTGTCGCTCCTAACGTCTCGCTCGTAAAAAAAAAAAAAAAAAAGAAAAAGAAAAGAGAAGGAAAAAAATAACCGATGAAAAGAAAAAAGAGAGAAGAAATTTATCCACGACGGATAAATTCGCCGGAATTGTCGAAGGGCTTCGATCGAACTCCGCGTCCATCGATTCATCGAACACAGATCCTGAAACATTCGCTCTGCGCTTACAAACGAGAGGATGCGGCACATACAATGACGTCAACTACAAACTTGTACAAACAGATCAAGCCTTTTTGCTCTCTATACATTTATGTGTCAGCGCACGGTCACGCACACGTAACTTGTCGCAACGGCGTCAAGCGTCGCGCTCGAAATAGCGAGAATTTAAGAATCGTCACATGACACAGATATACATACATCCACATACACAAGTCCGTAATAGCGGTTAATATAATAATTATTATTATAATATTAAAATAATAATAATAATAATAATTCAGATATATACTTTTCAGAGAGAAAAGTGGAACAAATTTCGCGTTGAATAAAAATAAATGTACAAAGTAAATTAAAGTACCTCCGATATCACAAAGAGTGTGATATGAAATAACGGTGTTATCTCAGCGAGCAAGGTTATGCCAATTTTCGACAATTTTAATTACGTATCGTCGTGTCGTATAACATCGCCCATTTCGGAATATTCCCATGTACGAAGTTAATAACAATATTATCACAATTAATGTCACAAATATTATATTTTCTTTACTTTCGTTGTTGAACAATAATATAGATACGCGATATTATAAAGAGAATTTTCGCGCGTAGAAATAATATGCGATAAGATTTGCGTCGATTCTATAAACGGAAAATGCATCGCAATGATTCTCAATGTGTAATGATCACCTGTAACGCGATCCGATGTTATTTTCGATGGACCGAGTGCACGCCGTTGCGACAGTTGTCTACCGAGCTAACATTTATCAAAACGTAATCGAGCCTGGCACCGAGTTCTCAGCATGCGAAGACCCGTCGTACATTTACGAGATTATGAGATTTCTCATCATCTCCTGCGTTAATCTTAATGCAATACTCGTCTCTTACAAATGAAGATGTATCCATTAATTTTTTCGGGAGAGAAGAAACTGCAAAATTTAATCTCAGAATGTTGATCAAATATTATTGCAATTTTGAAGCTTTTATATATAATTTATATGCTACGCTTCATTGATATTAGAATAAAATAATGGCAATTGTTTCATATTTGTAAGTATTTCGATTTAATGACAATCATATTTTGATACTAAAAGTTTCTTTTTAAGAAAAGAGATGTAAAGAAATGTAAAAGTCGTTTTCTCTAAAAATCGTCCTCCATGCGATTCAGCCGACCTGATTCGATAGGACGCATCTTCCTTCCCATGAACCTGTGCTCAAAATATTATAGCGCAGGACTACTAGTGCTCTATCGGGTTTCCCAAAAGCAGTTTTAGAAGCCGCAACTACCCCCTTCGAACCGACTCGCAAAACAGGTATACTTGTCGCTTCTTGTTTTTCAATAGCTCTCTCTTAATATCGCGATACGAATAAAAGTTATCTCGCTATATCGCTAATCTCTCAGGTAATATTACCAGATAGACGGTCAAGTCGGCTCGAAGTATCGGACGATATTCCGAATACAGGTCGTATATATCGCTCACTTTGCAACGATGGGTCTTCGACATTGGTCTAGTCATAGGCGCCGCCGCGTAACAACCTCGAGTAACCCTCTCGTTTTTTTTCTTTTTTTTTTTTACGAAGAATGCGACGCCTATGTCTCGTTACGTGGACCGTTCATCGTGAATAGGATTATATACCTATACCCAATGGTGAACATTTAACCCTCGACTACTACGCCAAAGTCGAAAGAGAGAGATAAAAAGAATAAATATTTTATAAAATATCATTGTTTCATATTTGTAAGTATTTCGATTTAATGACAATCATATTTTGATATTAAAAGTTTATTTTTAAAAGAGATGTAAAGAAATGTAAAAGTCGTTTTCTCTAAAAATCGTCCTCCATGCGATTCAGCCGACCTGATTCGATAGGACGCATCTTCCTTCCCATGAACCTGTGCTCAAAATAT